CCAGGTGCAAAGCGCTCCGTATTATTGGTCTAACACGTATCTTGTTACAGCTACAGTCGTGAGTGACGGCTATGACCTGTTTCTAGGGACTCCCCTCACCTGCTCTCTTCTAAGGTCTGGGCTCTGCAGCCAGATCAGCTGCCTGCGTTTGAATCCCACCTCGGCTGTTTCTTAGAGGGAATACTAATAGTTACTGTTTAGAGAACTAAATGAGAACAGAAATACAAAACGCTGTATTTTGATAAATGATGCCTAGCAGAGAGTACATCTCAACAAATGTTTCAGCTGTTGTTATCCCAGTTGACAGATGAGAAAACTGAGCCTTGGTGTAATGAGGGAAAGCTAGTGGCAGGGCCAGCACCAGGTCTTGGATCCTGGTGGGGGCCGGGGAAGTACCTCATGAAGGAGGCCCAAGGAATGGGGGGATTCACAGACCAACATCACCAGGCCAGGAGGTGACAGAGACAGACATGAACCCAGGGCTTGGCTCACCGCCGACGTGGTTTACTCTCAGGTGGGACATATGATGCCAACAGACCAAGGGCCTTCCTGCATGGGGGCTGTGTCCCAGGAGAAGGCATAGATGACAGAAAAAAGCATTGACTTGACCTTGTTGTTTCAGTGGGTGTCTTCATTCTGAGGCCAAGGACACAGAGGGCTGCTTCCTCTGTGGTTCTGAGAAACTGCCAGTGCCATCCAGACGTCCTAAATAGTAACTTCCCATCCTGCCTTCCCGGCTCCACCCCAACATACCTCCCAGCCCCCCTCCCGTCCTTATCATGAGGTAGTCTTCATGCCTCTTTGCATTAGCACATGCTGTTCCCCCGCTTCTGGAATGCCATTGCCTCTCCTCTGCCTGATGTGTCCCACTGGGCTCATCTCGCACTTACCCAAGTTGAGTCAGCAATGTAAACGGTCTTGTTCCCAAAAGTCTTTAAGAGGAAGACACTTTGTTTCTGTGCTGGTCTCCCTTTGCCCATCAAGGTCTACCCTGCTCCATGCCCTGGGGAGGCTGAGCACTCGGACTGCGTTCTTCTGTGCTCAGCCTGAAGAGCCCCAGGGAGGCTGGGGGCACGGGAGGGAGTGGGGGGTGTTCCCCTGGCTGGCTGTGTCCCTCTACCTCTCCTTGCCCTGAGATGCCTAGTTCTTCCCCCTCACCTCCCTGCGATGTGAGCCTCTGATGGGGGCGGGGTGGTGTCACGTCTGAGCCAATCTGAGGGTCTACGCACATGACAGCGCAGAGAAGACCCTTGGGAAACGTCCTTGACCCAGACCGCATCAAAGGACTCGGACTGCCACACACATGGGATTCAGTGAACAGAGTCATGTCGAGTTCAGCGTCCACCCGCCAGCTCCCCATCCAGTACCAGGTACTTACGGAGGTGTGCAGGCGCAAGGCCAGGCGGGGTGGCAGGATGAACAGTGCCTTGGGTGGGGCGGCGCTGGCAGCGCAGGCCGGGCATAGCCCAGCAAAGCACATGCACACACCTCACACTGTTTCGGAAGGCGATGCCTCCTAGGAAGGACGGAGAAGGGGTACAAAGTGATGGGGGGGTGCAGTTCTAGATGTGTGGTCAGGGGGCCACTGGGCAGACAGGATGTGAAGGAGCCAGGCCAGCGATGTTCTGTTGCAAGGACATTCCACACAGAGGGACCGGGGTACAGGAAGGCTGAGGGGTGGGAAGACTTGGTCTCGGGATCCCTGGGTGGCGCAGCAGTTTGGCGCCTGCCTTTGGCCCAGGGTGCGATCCTGGAGACCATGTCGGGCTCCCTGCATGGAGCCTGCTTTTCCCTCTGCCTGTGTCTCTGCCTCTCTCTCTCTCTCTCTCTCTCTCTCTCTGTGACTATCATAAATTAAAAAAAAAAAAAAGACTTGGTCTCTTGAAGAACAGCAGGGAAGCTGGGAGTCGGGGAGAGCCGAGGACTTCTTGGGGCAGGGCCCTCGCCTGGCCCTGGGCCTGCCAGCTTCCTGAATGGTGCGGGCCGGGGCCCCATGCAGGCGCTCTCTCCAGTCTTCATGATGACCTCATGGGGAGGGTCTTGGTATCTCTACTCCGTACATGAGGAAACCGAGTCTGAGGGAGGTGAAGCAACTTGCTGAGTTCACAGCATCAGAGGAAGGACAGAAATGGACCCAGGCCTGCCTGCCCCGTAGGCCAGAAGGCATTTTTCCAGAACCAGCACATCCCTCTGCCAAGGATTTCTTCTTCCCTAACACTGGCCCTACAAGGGCAGGCTGCTGAGAGGACCCAAAGCTCCCGGCCGGGGGATAGGCATTCCGAAGGCCATAGAGCCAGTGGGGAGGGTACTGGGATTCAGGCCCCCCACTCCTTGCAAAGGAGAAACTGGTTGGTGAACAGCAAAGCTGTGCTATGCCCAGACCTTCCTCCGGGGCCAGGGCGTATTGGCTAATGGGTATCATTTCAGTCCTTTCATTTCTAATAGACACTGTAGTGTCATAAAGACTGTCATTTCCCATGGCTCAGGCAGGATAATCAACATGCTGGCTGCCCACAGGGCTGGGAGTGGCAGGATCTGGACAGAGCTGTAAAGATGACTATCCTCTCCCTGTTGGCCATTCCAGTCCTTTTCCAACCAGATATAGCTGGGCTTGGGGTCCCTAGAGGCCCCCGCTGGCTACACAGATACAGGTGCCAGAGGTGATGAGGCTTGTCACATTTTAAAAACAGAAACTGAGGGGCAACCCGGGTGGCCCAGCGGTTTGGCGCCTCCTTCAGCCCAGGGTGTGATCCAGGAGACTTCAGATTGAGTCCCACGTCGGGCTCCCTGCATGGAGCCTGCTTCTCCCTCTGCCTGTGTCTCTGCCTCTCTCTCTCTCTCTCTCTCTCTCTCTCTCTCTCTCTCTCTCACACATGAATAAGTAAATAAAATATTAAAAAAAATAAAAACAGAAACTGAGGCCAGAGAAGGAAGTGGTCTCCCTAAGATCACGCAGCAAGTCAGCGGCAAAGCTGGGCTGAGAACTTGGGTTTCCAGGCCAGAACTTTTGCATGAACTCAGTGGTAAATAGTAGTCACCGAGGTGTGTTAAATCTTCTCAGGAGCCGGGTACAGTCATGCATGACCTCATTCAGTTCCCACACAGAACCGATGAAGCAGGTGTTATTACTATCACCCTCAATTAGCAGGCTGTAAGGTGGACCCCGTGGGATGCCCTCGAAGAAGATCTGGTGTGTGACAAGTCTTGTCCAGAGAAACAGACCCAGGTGGTTTGTAGGCTGGCCAAGATAGCTCAGCTGCTGGAGGAGTCTGAGAGGTAGATGGTGGGTGGGAGGAAAAGAGGAAGAGGCCTCTGCTCCAGACACACCACGGTGTCCGTCAAGCCTCTCCTGCTGGCCCCTTACCCTGCTAGACTTCCCTAGTTCATCATCTTGCTACATTCACACAGCAAGCTATGAACAGTGGTCCCATTTTGCAGATAGAGATATCGAGGCTCACACAAAGTGATTTGCCCAAATTCACAAAATTAATAAGAACTTGGACTTGAACCTGGTTCTCCTAATGTCCAGGCAACTCTTTTTCCCTTCCTTAATTCATTTTTTACTTGGTGGTTCCTTTCTCTTTTGTTTTCTCTACAAGTTACCAACTGTCTGCCTCCCTCTCCTTGATGCCGCTACATCTGGGTGTAAGCCTTCTGAAGTAGGAATCTCATCTGATTCTTCACTGCTGTGTGTTTGGAGCCTGTCACAAAGCTGGAATCAAGGGCTTGGGTGGGTTGTTGAAGGAATCATGATCCGGCTATACTTTGTTTAACTGAAACCCAGGGTCAGCATGGTCAACGTGGAGATTTCTATTGATGGTAAGTGATTCATTGTGCAGCTATGCAGGGGGGCAGGGGAAAGTGGTGTATTATAACTGCATTTTTTGTTTATTTTTCATTAACAAGATTGCTCCACTTCTTGATACGTAGAGCTCTGGGGAGGCCTGGACCAATGTTCAGGAGGATGCCGGAGCCCTCCTCATAGGAAAGCCCTGGGAACCCAACTCCTGCTTCCCCATAGTGTAAGCTTAGAGAAACATGGGTGCTGGACTCGCTCTGAGTGAAGTCCAATGGTAGGAGAGGGCCTACAGATGAACAGTCTCCAAAGAGAACTCAGCTGATGGGAAATAAGGGACTGATGACCTATGCTCAATATCAGGGGGAGGACAGCTCAGGACTTTAATCAGCTTCTCAGTCAAGGATCACCATCTACATGAGGAAAAATGCCACCGTGAAGGAGACACCTGGCCTCAGCTTGCAGCCTCACTGCTGAGCCCAGGGTGGGCCTGACTGCATTTTATGGGGGGCACTGGACCCAGAAGCATTGCCAGCTCCATATAAAGGGTCCGCGGGGATGTGCACAAGCAGCTGCCCACAGCGATGCCACCTGGCAGAGGCTGGGAGGACAGCCCCAGGTGGGACGTCCGCTTCCTTTCTCTGTATTCCTGGACTTTGGAGGCTGGGCTGGCCTGCTGTGGACAAAGTCCTCAGGGTTCCTGAGTCAGCCCAGGAGAGTGGAGGCCCCTGGATGGTGACTGAACATCCTGCCCATGAAGGCTTGTGATAAACGATGAGCTGGAAACGTAAGAGATGCCCTTGTTTTTACCACCCTGGGTTGGTGAAGCACGTGTGCACGCTACAGAACACATCTGTTTTACCCTCTGTCACCAGCGACCACAACTGTCCGCATTAACAAGTAACACACATGAGACTTCTTTTCTATTGCAGACTGTCTTTGAAATTAGTAACGATTGCACACCCATGTAGGACATGCCATAGATGACAAAGCTCTTACCCATTCGTGCTGGTCTCTGAGCCTCACACCAACCCTATGAGGGAGGGAGGGCACATGGATCCTTCCTAGGAAAGTGAGACTCAGAGAGGGACAGTGACTTGCCCATGGTCATCAACGAGTCAACAAGTCCTAGTCCTGGCCCTGCCCCTGTTGTGGGGACCCCACACTGCCTGCCAGGGAAGCCCGAACCCAGGTCCCCGCCTGCTCACAACAGCATCAGGACCACGATGGCAATGACCATGAGGACTCCAGCCAGGATGCAGAGCCCCAGAAAGACAATGTCACTGGTGTCCTGGGCCACCGTAGCCACGGGGCCCTCTAGTGCATCCACCTCATCCCTGGGAGGCGCTTCCTGAAGATGCTCTGCTGTGGCAGCATAGGGCCCAAGCCAGTCGGAGCCGGACAGCAGGTGGACAGAAGCCTCCTTGCGCCGTGGCTCACAGCGGACCTCGTACTCATGGATGTCCTCCTGCCCACCGGCCGAGAAGTCGATGTACAGCACACTGACGATCACGGAGGTGTTGTTCCTCCTCTGTGGGGGTCACAGGGCACTCACTTACACCTGAAGGGGCCAGGGCTGAGCCTGTTCCCCTAGATTTGTGGGGACTCTGCGCCAAAAGGGCAGAACCACAGGAGCCTGGGTTCTAGTCCCTGCTTGGACACTGACTCCCTTCCTGCTCGGAACCTCAGTGTCCCCACCTGTAAAAGAGACACTATGGGGATGTCTAGAAGTACAAGATCAGATTTAATGGGTCAGTGCTTGATCTGGCTTCAAAGAGGAGGCATCTCCGAAAGATAGTACCCGACCCATTTGCCACATTCCAGGCCCTGTTTCAAGTGCATTATCTCATTTAATTCTCACTATGACCCTCTTCTTATTGTTACCATTAATATCCCCATTTCACAGTTGAGGAAACTGAGACCTGGAAGTTAAATTCTTTGTCTGAGGTCACACGACACATAAGTGACAGGTAACATGCACTCACCCAGATCCGCCCAGTTCTTGACTGTGTTCTTAGCCACCAAGCCTCTCTCAAACCAGAGTAGACGTTAAGTAGACTTAAGTAGAACCAAAGCAGACTGTAATGCATCTAGTTCAGTCTCCCTTCCTTGGCAATTTACAGATGTGACTACTGAGGCCCAGCAAAGGCAGTGACTTGCCCAGAGCTAGGTCCGGAAGCCAAAAGTCGCCTGCCTCCCGGTTAGAAGCTCATATCCCTGCCTATGTGACCTTCTTTCTGGAATCTTTTCTCCCAATTATGCCTGCGGTCATTATGTGTCCCTGCTGTTGAGTCCCTGGCCGAGCTAGTGGCACTACCCAGGGTTAGGAAGAGCCACTGAGGAATGAAATGTGGGGGGCCTGGCTACTGCTGCCCTCCCAACCCCTATAGACAAGGGAGGCAGGAGTCAAGCTGCCCTGAAGATGGTGGGGGTGTTTGGGCCAGGACCTGAGGGGCAGCATTTTGATGGGAAGTCTGGTGTGGCCTGGGACAGGGGACTCAGTGGGGCAGGGCAGTGGGGCAGGGCTACTCCCCCCACCTGCCCTAAGTCTGCAGCAGCTGTTAAACCCCTTGGGCTGCCCAACTGCCCATGTCCAGTGGTGGCACCTCTGAGATGAAGCTTCTGGATGTGGAAGCTAATACAGAGCAAACAGGCAGGAGCAGTAGAAAGCTGCCATCACTGGACACGGGGTGACCCCTCTGGGGAAAGAGAGTTACAAAGGGGCCTCCTTCCAAAAGGCTCTGATTCCATATCCTCAGAGGAGGCTTTTGCATTTGTGCCCTCAACCTATCTGCCACCACCCTGGTGTCCTGGGTTTTCATGGTACAGTATTGGAATGCCGGGCAAAGAAACACAAGACCTGTGAATGGAAGGGGATGCAGTAAAGTGAATCCATGTGATAAAGAAGGGAGAAAAAAAATTACATAAAATGGGGGTGTAGGGAAGCTTTAGGGGTTTTCGATGAGTGAGAAACTTGAAGGGGAAAAACCAGCCACACGAGATGTGGTTGTTGGCGGTTATGAAATCAAGTCTCCAGTGTTTTTTAAGAGATATGCCAGAAAGGTTGTCATTACCTTTGGCTGTTTGAGCTGCACATCTTTGAGAGCAACTCAGGACAGACCCTGGTCTTTGTAGGTCTAGGACTTCTAAGGGTGACACTGGGAATCCAGGAGTCCATGGTTCTCAGCTTTTTGTTTCCATGATATTGGCCCCCAGATTCTATGATTCTGTGGCTCCAAGTTATGGTAGTGGTTCCATGGCTCAGCCTCTGAGGTATTATGGTATCTTGTTCTCCATTTCATGGTTCCCTGCCTCTGAGATTCTCTGTCACCGTGTTTTCATGACTCTGTGGAATGTCCAAAGAAAATCCCTGGGGGATTTAGGGCATGGAATCGGGGTGAGGGCAGATCTTCTTGGCAGTTGAGACTGCCCCCACTTCTCTCCTCAGGTCAAAAGGACAGAGGTTGCCAGAAGCTGGGCAAGTGGAGGCATAGGCCAGTGGGCCCTAGGGGGACATTTGGCTAATGTGGGGGGGGGGGCAGGGTGGTACAGTTTGCTGGAAAGTATGTGATTTCTGCCAAGCCAGTCTGGCACATCGCCAAATACCAAGGCTGGGGTAGAGGGTCTCCCTGGAGGGTGGGGGTGGGGTCCTCTTCTTTCCCCTTTAACCTGTCCCTAAGAATGCAACATCTGAGGTGCTTGGGCCACTCTGAGGGCCCCAAACCTGGAGTCAAGGCCTCAAAAATATACAGATAGTGGAAAAAATTCATTTGTAAGCCTCGCTGCCTTTGGAGGGAAGTGGATCCTGTCACTTGAAAGGCCCTTTTGTTCTGTGGAGCCCAGGGACCATTTGGATCACAGGTTGGGGAGGGGGCAGCAGGAGGCAGCAGGGCTCCAACAGCTCTGCATGTTAAAGGGGTGAGGCCCAGGTAGTGCGGAGTTCACAGGAGAAGGGAAGGCCTCCAAGGATGGTCAGGGTCAGGGCTTTGCAGGAAGAGTCTTCAATAGAGGCTTTTGGGGTGGGAGCCTGGGGGGCTCAGGTGGCTAAGCGTCTGACTCTTGATTTAAGCTCAGGTCATGATTTCAGGGCTGTGGGATCGAGCCCTATGTCGGGCCCTACACTTAGCGTAGGATCCGCTTGTGATTCTCTCTCCCTGTCCCTCTGCCCCTCCTGCTCGTGTTCTCTCTCTCTCTCATAACTAAATCAGTATTTTTAAAAAGATTTTATTTATTGATTGATGAGACTCATACACACAGAGGCAGAGACACAGGCAGAGGGAGAAGCAGGCTCCATGCAGGGGGCCCAATGTGGGACTTGATTCCAGGACTCCAGGATCACGCCCTGAACCAAAGGCAGACACTCAACCACTGAGCCACCCAGGCATCCCTCATAACTAAATTAATCTTTAAAAACATAGGGGCTTTTTAGTTGTCACTGGGTTATACAGCAGAGCCCCCTTCTCTGTCTCCCATTTGAGTTCTTCCTCCCGTTCACTCTGCTCAAGTTTGTTGCATTCTGTGTCCAGGCTTGTGGGGTCACCGAGCCAGAAAGAGAAGGAGTCAGACCCCCTACCCTGGGCCTGCCCTCCCCCAGCCCAGCCCCTACCTGAGACTCGGTGCCGCAGGTGTCAAAGCGGGCCTGGATCCTGAAGGAACTGCCCGCTTCCTGGGCGGCACAGCTACGGCTGCCCAGGTAGACCTTGGTCCGCTCCAGTGGCGCCAGCGCCTGTGCGGAGATCAGGATCTGGAAGTCCGTGCGGGAGCAGCTCACGTTCACGGGTACGACTAGCAATGGAGGGAAGGAGGGAGGGGCTGGAGGCCTTAGGGGCAGGAGGTCTGTCCTCACCACCCCGAGACCCCACTCAAAGGGAGGCCTAGAGTGGAGAGATGTCTATGCAGCCCGATGGGGGTGTTTGTGTGTGTTATCGCATTTAACTGCATCAGACATGAGCTCCCCAGGGCAGGCACCAGGCCTTCTCATGTCCTCGAAGCCCAGCACTCGTAGCAGGTGCTGTGAATGTTGAACGAATGAATAAATATTCTTAATCACAAGAAGAGCTACTATTTGCTGATCTCTTTGCCGTGTGCCTGGCAATTCGTTCAACCATTTAACAAATATTTCTTGATGGCCTACTATGTGCAGGCACTATTTCAAGCACTGCAGAAATAGAAATGGAAAAAAAAAAGAAAAGAAAATCCAACAGCCCAAACTTCCTGCCTCCTTGGAGCTTACATTCTAGTTGGATAGGGGGGCAATCACTGTGTAAAATGAAAGACCGGTCACAGTGGGCTGCAGGGAAATCAAGCAAAGAAGACAAGGAAAGCAGAGCTCGTGTGTGGGGACGGAGGCAGAAATGCAGTGTTCCAGAGGGCGGAGAAGGAAGCCTCACTCTCTCCCCATGATGACACTCTGAGGTGGACACAACTAAAACCCATTTTAGTTTTGGAAACTGAAGCTCTGAGAGGTAAAGTTGTTGGCAGTAGTTGAGTTGGGATTTTAACCATTATTGAGTCTATAGGATTGAGTCTACGGGTGATCCCTCCACCCCACGTGGTGGGCCCTGCTGCCCTCCAGGCCAAGACACGTGACTTTCTGTGCCTGGGTGTATCCCAGCATGCATGTGCGTGTGTGCATGTGCACGTGTGTGTGTGTGTGTGTGTGTGTGTGTGCATATGGGGGCAGTGCCTGCCGGAGTGGGGGCGGTGGAGGGGAGAAGGGGTGGCTGGTGGCAGGAAAGGGAAGAGCTGGCAGGAGGAGGCCTGAACTCTCAGCCCGTCTCCGGGAAATGCCTCAGACATGTTTCAGCCTCTGGTGTCTGGGCAGCCGGGGATTTACGGGCCTGCCATCTCCCACGATGATCTTCGGTGGCGCTGAACTATGTGTCATTCCTGATGGATGCTGAGGTTGTCCTCCGGCCAGGAGGCCACCTGCCGCCTGTGCCACAGCTGGAGCCTTGCCCAGCACGAGTGCCCCGTCTGACCCTGGGCTCCCACGGGGATCTGGGGAGGGGGTGAGGTGGGGGCTCCTGCCCAGGAACACAGTCGGGTTTAGAGCTGCCCACCTTCAGTCTCTGTAGGCACCAGAAGGAGAAGGGGCTTGTCCAAGATCCCACAGGGCTGGGAGAGGACCCAGGCCCAGAAACAAGATGATCAGAACCAAAGGGGACCTCAAAGATGCCTCAGCTAGTGTCCTCATTTTACTGAGACCCTCAGAGAAGAAACAACCTGCCAGCTAACTGAGGCAGAGCCTGTGGCACCCGGGTCCCTGGAGTGAAGCCCTAGTGAGGTTGCTCTAGCAAGGGACAGCTCCCCTTAGCCCCAGGTTACGGATGAAGCCAACTGAAGCCCTGGAGGGCGGGTCTGTCCAGGTGGCCTCACTGCCACTAGCTTGCGGTGGCTCTGCTGTGTCTTGCCCCTTCACCACTTGCATATAGGGTAGGGACGGAGGGAAGATGTTTTGAATGTAGACCAGGCCTGAGACACGTGAGGGAGAGAAATCCACCTGCAGCCGAGGCAAGGATGTCCCGGGAGTTGGGCACTGGGACCTGTGCCCTCATTCCATCTGCATGACTGCCTACAAGGGCATTCATCAGCCCCTTGTACAGATGAGGCCACTGGGTGACCAGTAAATGGCAGCATTTGGATGTGGCCCTGGTCTGTCTGTGCTCAGCCCTGGCTTCCTCCCCACTGGGCTCTGTTGGGCCACCAAGATGGTAGACACGGGTTCTCATCTTGGCCGGGCCCCTGCTGCCCACATGACCTTGGTGAGGTGTTTCCTCTACCTCCCTTTCCACACCTGCACAGCAAGAAGCTTTCACCTGCTCAGGCAGAGGGCAAAATGGGTCCAGAGCATAGGCTTTCCTGGGCCTGTGGATGAGGGAAGGGTGACGAACAGAGGGGAGAGAAGGTGGAGGCTGCTGGCCAGCCAATCTAACAGATACTATGGAACCTGGGAAAGCTTCTCCACCTGTCGCTGTAGCTAGACGTGGCCACCTGATCAAGTTCAAACTCATGAGACCAAGAAGTCTTTTTCTGAAAATGCTTTTGCTTTCCTCATAATAGGACATTTGTAGCTGGCATCTCCCCTACCCTCTCCCAGCCTTGAACATGGACATGATGATATCTGGAGTTGTAGCAGCCGTGTTGCAATCAAGAGGCCATCAGAATCCCAGAGTTACCAGCTGAGACAGTGTTAAGTCTCTGATCCAACAAAGCAGCTCCTTAGCTCTAGACCTCTCGTGATGCGAGGAAAACAAAAGACATTTGTTCAAGCCTCTGTCGGTCAGGATTTATGACCGATACAAGCAAAGCCCGTCAGCGTCTCCATGGTTATACCAATTGTTTATCATAAGTGATATGGACATATTGGTGTACTGCCCCTGGAAACATGGGATGAACCACAGCATGAGAGGCCAGGGTCTCAAGGGGAAGGAGACAGATGAGGGGGAATTAGGGAATGTGGAGCTGGAGGCTAGAAAGGCAGGGCTCTGCAGTCATGGAAATAATCATGGTCCACATTGGCAGGGTCTCCAAGGTCCCAGAGCAGCAGCCACCCCAGAAGAGATTGGAGGAGCCAAGTGGTGGGATAGAGGGAGGAAGGTACAGAGGAACCCAGCCTTGTCCCTCCACCCTATCAGCACCACCCACACCCTCACCCCCAGCTGACCTCCAATGTAGGCCACAGAGAAGCCCCTTCGGGCAGTGCTGCGGTCCGTGTGCAGCAGAAGCAGAAGCTGGTTTTGGTTCGAGGTGACCGGTGCTGGCAGGTGGTGTCCACACCAACTGCCCAGTAGGGGTGCCTCCTCGCTGGCCCCATCATAGGCTGACAGATGGTCGAAGTCACAGGTCCTGGTCAGGCTATTGGGACCCTCCAGATCCAGGTCCAGGAAGAACACCTTGACCCGATAGCCAGGAGGCAGGCGGATGGTCCAGTGGCAGTGGATGTTGTTAGGGTAGGAGTCGGGGTACTGTGGGCTGGAGAAGTTACCCCGCACAGCCGTGTACACCTCCTGGCATTCTCCTGGATTGGGGAGGGGGAAGGGGTCGAAGCACAATGATGACGAGTGTAGAGACTGTCACCCTCTGCTGCACAGCTTGGGCAGTGGGCACCATAAAGGTCCTGAAACCACCCTGGCAGGTGGTGGGCACCATGGTTGGCAAATCAGACAACTGATGCCAAACCCTGCTTTAAATCAAAACTAACTGAAGACTAGGACTCTCATTCCCATCGGCAGTCCACTTCACGAGTGCTAGTCTGTTAGGAATTCAACAACAAGACCTAATACTTGTCCCCAGAGTTGAGTTCAACATTAGACTTGATGGACAATGTGGCTCATGACAATGGGGCTTGCTCATTTTCTCACTGCCCCTCATCCAGCTCTATCTTTCAGTCTCACCAACACCTAGCATTGGAGCACTGAACCCTCTCTGCCTGCCTCCCCCCCTTCATGCATACTGAGCTCTCATCTCGAATACCCTTCCCTCCCTCTGCCTCTGGCTAACTCCTTCAAAGCACTACTCAATTCTCTCCTCCTCCAGGAAGTCATCCATGATCCTTACTGTTAACACCGATCACAGTGGCTTGTCCTTGTCTATTTCCTCCTCTATCTCCTCCACCGTCTAGTTCATTTCACTGTCAAGGGTTCATTCATTTGGGCAAACATTAATCGAATCTCTTCTATGTGACAGATACAGAGACAAATCCACAGGAAGTCACAGTTGGGGGGAGGGGGATCAACGTGTGAATCACAGGCATAAAGGATAAATGTTAGATCATTGCTGCAAAAAAAACCTCCAGAAGGAATTGAAAGAAAGGACTAATTCTGAGTCAATCAGGAAGACTTCCCAGAGGAGGTGACATGCTTCTGCCTTGGCACTGGCCAGGCAGGGCCATGCACAGCATGCACAGGGGACTCCAGGGATGTCCCCAGCCCCTTCTACCTGAGAAGTAGTAGGCCTTGAAGCCCCGACCTCCGATGTTAAAGTCGGACTTGAAGATCACCTGCAGCTCGTGGCCCAGTGACACAAGAGTGGGGGGCCTGGTGTTGCCACAGTAGTGGTGCCCGTGGGCAGGGACTGACCCCTCAAGCACGGCCACGTAGTCATAGGTGCACTCCTCATTGCCCTCCAGCTGGAAGTCCACGAACACCAGCTTGACGGTGGCAGCGCCAGAGGCCCGGATCACCCAGTGGCACTCCACGTTGTTAGGGTAGTTGTCAGGGTACTCAGGGCTGGTGAGGACCCCCGAAAGGCCCGTCAGGACGCCACCACACACATCTGCAAAGAAGCCCTCCTGAACTGACCTTTCTCCCTACCCATGGCCCCCCAAGCCTCCTCCCTTGGGAACCGGATGCCCCCCAACATGCCACTTGGATGGGTATCTCATCACCATCCACTGAGAGCTTGCTAGGTGGCAGGCACAGGCCTGGCACTTGGCATCGAGGCCATCTTTTGACACCATTACCGTGACCCTAGGGGAACGCATAGTGGTTCTCCCCCATTTTATGGTTGTGAAAATGGAGGCACAGGGAAGGTGAGTAACTTACCTGGGCGGGGTGGGGGGGTCACCCAGACAGAAACTGAGACAGGGTGTGAGCACAAGGAGTTCATTTGAGAGATATAAGGGCCAGCAAAGGGCACTGTCAGGCCTGCTGCTGAGCCCTGCTGGGGAACCCTGGGGAATGGCATCAGGCACACACTTCAGAGTTATGTCCCCCGAGACAAAGGGAGCTGAGGCATTTGTACAGCAACTCCAGCAAGTCCAGGCCGAGGGCTGCTGGGGATAGAGGGGACCCACTGAGACTTTAGAAGAGGGCTTCCACTAGGGATGTAGAGGCTGGCAGGAGCCGCTGAAGGGATGAGGCCCCAGGAACACGGGCAGGGCCCTGACGGCATGCCACCTGGATGATAACGGATGCAGGGCCTGGGCACTCAACCGTGGGGTTCTCACTGTCCCCTCCTACCAGGCCCGTGGAGCACAGAGGCTGGGGTGCCGAGTTTGGGAATGTTCTCAAACTTTCCTAACAGAAGAAACTGAGGCTTGGAGAGAGAATCTGGTGAAGTGGAGATGGGTGTGAAGTCTGAAGACCTGTGTCCTCTCAGCTCGTCTCCTATTAGGGGTGTGACCCTGGGCAAGTGACCCAGGCTCCCTGAGCCTCAAGGGAATATTAGAGGTCAGAACCTGCCCAGCCAGATCTACCAGGGGCAGGCTCACGCGGAGTCTCAGAGGCTGGCGAGAAGAGGTGGGTGATGATGAACGCCCTGACCAGCTGGAGGCCCCAGCAGGGAGGGGCACACTGCTATTCCCCAAAACTCCAGAATCTCACCCCAGAGATTGGCCTTTGTGAGCAGAGTGCTGCTCTGGCCGTGTTTTTCACGCTTGGCCGCGTCATTTTGAGAAGGCACACTCCTTCTCTACTCGCAACTTTCTTGTTTGTGAAATAAGAGGGCAGGTTTTGACAGCCTGTGAGATCCTTTTCCATGTGAACACCCTTAGCAGAGGCTTTCAGACTGTGCTCTGGAGCTTCGCAGCAGCCCCCGGGGCATCTATCTGCCTGCATGTGGAGCAACTTTCATTCCTGTGCTGTATCCAAGCTCTCTACGGTGCCCTGAAAGACAGCGTCCACAGTCACAGGTCATATGTATAAATGTCACTCATTGGAGACCATCCGTATTGACTTCTGTTTTCCGTGATTGGCTTATAATAAGTAAATGCTAAAAATAGGAACTTAGAAAATACAGTAAATGCCTACCAATAAAAATACTGTCTTTATCTCTTTTATATAGAAGGGATTATCGTGAGGTTCCATGTGTTTTAATGGTACTCCTGTTTTTAAAAATGTTGGAAAAGATCGCTTATGGTATTATGACTTGGATATTCTAACATTTTAAAAAACTAAGTCTAAAATTCCAAAACTACAATGCAATTAGTCTGTGATTCTTGTGTTTCAGCATGTTACAGTTCTGTGCCTCCCAGGCCAGCTCGGGGAGTGGTGTCCTACCTGAGGCACCCCCCCCATTGTTGTCTGGGGACCCTGGCTGCCAGGAGCCTCTGTGGCTGTCTGTCGCTGGAGCTGACATGAGTATGGCCTTGGGCTTAGGTCTGGGGAGAAGGGAGGAGGTCTGAGTATATGAGAGGCCTGAAGGCAGAAGGAATGAGTCAAGAAGAAAGGCAAGCCTAGAAAGGGCTCTGCTCCTCTCGCTAGACTAAGGGGCCTGCTTCCAGGCTGAGAGAGGGAGGGTTAGGTTATATCACACCAAGTGTAAGAGGGGTTAGGAAAGGCTTGAGGAGGGAGGACGTCACCGGCTCCACACAGATGGCCCTCGTGCACCTCTTACTCCAGAGGACTTGGGGTCCCTGAACCTGCGAAGTGATGGGGTGCTGCAGAGGGGCAGGCAGCAGTGGCAGCATGATGTCCTCTCCTTTGTCCTGGTGCCATGACACGGGATAAGGACAATAGAGGGGTGCCTGGGTGGCTCAGGTGGTTAATCACCTGCCTCGGCTCAGGGTTCATGATCCTGAAGTCCTGGGATCAAGCTCAGGGAGGAGTCTGCTTCTCCCTATGCCCCTCCCCCCGCTTGTGCTCTCTCTCTTCTCTCTCTCAAATAAATAAATAAAATCTTTTTTAAAAAAAGAAGAAGGATGATAGTGAGCACAAGAGGCCTTGCTCCTGCATACAGTGAGACCCTCCCAGGGCTCCCAGGACCACTGCCGTGAAGGTGGGGACCCACAGCCACCATGACCACAGCTGGAAGCTGCCTTTGCTTTGCCCCTGAGCTGCGACAGCAGGGTCACCCCGTCTCACCCCACCCACTGCTCTCCTCCCCACCCCTGACCTCCACAGGGCCCCCCTCTTCCCTGCCCGGGCCTCCTTGCCTTTCTGGTAGCCGGCAGAAAAGCCACGGCTGGCCACGTGCTTGTCTGAGTGGAAGACGACAGACATGACGTGCCAGGAGGAGGTGAAGGGCGGTGGGGGCACCTGGCCACAGAATCTCCCCAGCAGGCTGCCCTTGTCCCCGGACGCCCCGTTGTAGACCTCCAGGTAGTCGAAGCCACAGGAGTCGTGGTACTCCAGGTCAAAGGCGTGGAAGGTGAGCAGCACCGAGGAGCCCTCGGCCACCACGATGAGCCAGCTGCACTCCGTGTTGTAGGGGTAGAGCCTGGGGAAGTTGGGGCTGGAGAAGTTTCCGGAAGGTGCCGAGAGCACGCCCCCACATTTGACACCTGGGGCAAGAGGGAAGAATGGCTCAGTCAGTGCTGGGGTCCTGGGCGGTGGGCCCAGCCACGAGGCTGGGTCTTCGGAATGGGTGGGGGAACATGAGGCCATGACCCTACACACAAATTCCTTTACGCATGTTTGCTCCTTCATCTGCTTAATCCTCAAATACTTTTACCAAGCACTCTTTTATTCACTCAACAAATATTGTCTGAGTGCTAGGCAATGTTCTAGGTGCCGGGGTTTCAGCTGGAGCAGAACAGACAACAATTCTTGCCTTCGTGGAATTTCCTGTGTGGTTCTGACGGGGAACACATGATAAACACAAGAAGTAAAATACAGAGCACACCGAATAGTGATTAGTGCTACGGAGAAAAGTAAAGCAGGGAAAGGAGACAGAAACGTTGGGGCGAACCTATAATTTTAGATAAAACGGTAGTATATGCCAGCCCCTGGGCATGTGCGGTAGGGAATTTAAAAATAACAAATGAGCCACCTGGGTGGCTCAGCGGCTGAGTGTGCCTTAGGCTCATGTCGTGAGCCCAGGGTCCTGGGATCAAGTCTTGCACTGGGCTCCCCGCAGGGAGCCTGCTTCTCCCTCTGCCTGTGTCTCTGCCTCTCTCTCTCTCTGTCTCTCATGAATAAATAAAAATTTAAAAATCTTTTTTAAAAATTACAAATGAAAAAAAATTACAAATAATACCTCCGCCCTCAGTGAAAATGTACACAGCCTACTGCAATGGTACAAGGACATTCTTATAAGCACATACTTGCTTATATTTTAAAAAAGAAAACAATGTGAAGGAAACTAATAAAAATGATTGTCAGGGAAAGGAGTAAACAGAGGGAGGAAAACAGGCATGAAGCTAGACCTCTTTCAATGTTACCTGTTTTATAATTTAGACTTTATAATCATCCCTTTTAATATAATTTTTAAATTAGCAAAAAAATTTTTAAGTAACCCTTAAATATCCCAAACTGAAACAAATAAACGTAACTATGGATCGAGTTGGAGGCGTATTCACATGGTGAAAAACGATTTCAAATGACTTGGAAATACACTTTTTTGACCTTACCTTCCCAGTGGGTTATATGCCCAGGACAAAATGAAGCACAAAGAAATCTGAAACTTGACTCAGGAGGCTTACTGTTTGTAATCACAGTCAACAGTGCTATTTTACAGTATTTTATGAACCGGAATAAAGCACGTATGTTCATGTCCACAGAAGCTAAGATGTTCCGTGTAAGAGGAGAGCGATACAACCGTAAAATTAAAAAATTAAAGAGAACACTTGTGATCCTTGATTTGAATTGAAAACAGTATGAATTTAAGGTTTATTCTTATCTCTAAAAAAGAATGAATTTCCGCGCTCTCTTCACTGAAAAGGCCAAAAAGCATGTACCAGGCCCGTGCTGACTCAGCAGGGCCCCTCCGTGGGGAGCGCGCTGTGGAACGGGGGTGGCGGTCCGCTGTGCCATAGCGCTGCAGCCACATGGGGCCCTGGGGACCCAAAGGACGGAGGCTAATCTTGCTGAGCCACACTGCTAGGGGAGGGACAAAATCCACAGGGAAGGTGATGTTCGAGTATGACCAGGAGGGATGAAGATTGTTAGTTGGCGACAATTTGGAGGGAGCAAATGGCCCAAACTCACAGGCACTTTGCCTCCCTGAGCCTCGGTCACGCATCGGTGAAATGGGGTGGCTGTGAGCGCCGAGGAGACAAAGCTTCTCCGAGGGCAGCGGATACACACCCGGTTCAGGTGTGCCAGGGCAGGAATCCCCTCTGACTTATGCCTTGATGGCAAGGGGCCGTTCCGTCTCCTGCCTGTCCTTGTCTTTCCCCCAGCCCTGCCCACAGGACAGGAAAAGCCCTGGAGTGTTGGAGCAGGACTCCTGTGGCCAAGGAGGCCCTGGGTGCTGGCACAGGCAGAGGCCTTGTCCTCTGGGACTCAGCCCGACGACTTGAAGCCTAGGGTCACCCTGGGGCCTCTAAAACCTCGGAGGCTGGAAAATGAGAGCAGCTAGCCTCTGTTCTCTAGGGGGACTAGAGGAAGGAGCAAGACACCTGGGTACCCAGCCCACCTCTGCCACCGACCAGGTGACTGGCATGTCACCTCTCCTTCTTTGAGCCCCACTTGAGCCTGCAGGAAACCCAGGCACTGAGGGCTGTTTGTGGAGCCCCACGAAGTGCTCGCCCCTTGGCAACCAGTGAAGTGATACTGCTTTAGAGACAGGCCCATGACACAACAGGGCTGGGGCAGCACAAAGCGACCTGGGACCAGGATGCTGGCTCAGGGTTCTAGGAGCTCCAAGGAGGGAGCATCTGACGCTGATGAAAGGATGTGGAAGGCTTCCTTGAGGAGGTGGTGTTTGACTGGGGTTTGATAGATGGGCCAGATGCTCTCAGAAAACAAAAGAGGAAAGGGACCTTTCAGAGAGAGGGTACCCTGGGGCAAGAGCTCTGAGGCCGAGGTATCTCCAGGAGGGGGTATGAGGCTCTGCTAGAGCACTGGATGCCAAAGGGACACAGGGAACCGAGGCTGGATATTATTCAGAGATTGGGGCCAACCCTGGGAGACACTGAAGGCCATTTTAAGGAACTTGGGATTTTACCTGGCTGGCAGTGGGGATGTACAGCAGGCTCTTGGGAGGGAAAAAAAATCCTCCCTCCAGCAATAAACCTTGCGTTGTTTTTTGAGCCAGTCCTTTAGCCCTTGGTAACTATGCCTTCTTGCACAGGTTACTTAACCTCCTTCTGCCTCAGTTTCTTCATCTATAAAATGGAGGACTCATCCCCACCTTGGAGTTTGTCGTGAAGCTTAAATGCAATCCTATTTGTAAAGCATCCAGCACAGAGCAGGGGCGCTGCAAACACTGTCTTCCACCATCTCAGAAACAAATGCACCCTCAACTCAGCCGGCTCCCACCTCAAAGGCCTCCTGCTTTCTGGCCTCCCGCACGGAACCCTCCTGAGACCCTGGCAGCCCCCCGTGCCCTGGCCTGGCCACCCTCCACGCCTCCCAGATCCTGCCTGTCCTTGGCAGCACCTACCTTTCATGGCTCGGGCCCTGGGGCCTGGGGCCAGCAGCGCCCCTGCCAGCAGCAGACAGGACACCAGGTCTGCCAGCATCGCCTCACCGGGGCCCTCACGGGTCTGCAGAAATCGGGGCAGGTTGGGATCTGAGGGTCTGGAGCTGGGGAAAGAGAGGGGAGTCTGAGAGGACCTCCAAGTTAATGATGGCCTGAATAATTCATCGGGCCCTCGAATTAGTAAGCTGATCCCCAGGTGCTTACTCCGTCCCGCCCGAAGGTGACGGATCTAGTGTCAGCGGGTTTACACATTCTGAGATCTGCGCTGGTCGCACTGTAGCAGGAAGGGAAGTAACTTAGGGTGGGAAGAGAACCCGGTGGTGGAGAAAGGGCATGGGTTTAGGGGTCAGGCAGGTCTCACAGCCACCCTAGGTCAGCCTGAGCTGGCCGGGTGGCCTTGAACAGGTCCCCTGGACTGTGGGTCTCAGTCCTCCTCATCTGTCTAGTGGGGCCATTCAGCCCTGCCTGTAGGAAATGGCATGTGGCGACATGTGCTGCAGCCTGATGGGAGGCCCAACCCCCCCCCCACCGGGGAGCAGAAGGGACCCTCTAACTAGGGGGACAGGCACATCCTTCAGACATGCCTAGATTAGCTCAGACGGGGAGTGAAGGACACTGTTGGAAGGTGATGGAAGAAGGCAGCCGAGACAACAGAACGGGAGACTTGTCTTGTACTGCTCCTAATGCGACCATGGATCTGGGCCACGGTGTCAATTCTGGCCAAAAATATTAGATATTCCCTCCTCAATGGGTCCACAAACCGTAGGTGAGCATCGGTCTGTGCCAGGCTGTGTGCTAGGAGAGAGGTGGCAAAAAGGCCCTCAAGGGCTCTGTGTCCAACAGGAAACAGAACCTATTTCCTCCGGGAGCTCTACTGGACTCCCCTCAGCCCAGCTCTCGTGCCTCAGCTCCTTCCCTGGGCAGAGCCCGCTCCAGGACAGGGTGTCTGAGGGACACGTGGCACATTCCTGCCTTCCAGTGAGGAGCCTGGGCTGTGGTTTGGCCAACGGGGTCTGAATCCTGGCTCTGTCACCCTCTGCCACTTCCGTCAGGCCGCGGCAGCCTGGGAAAGTGGCCCAACTCCCTGAGGCCCAGCCTCCTGAGCACGAAGAGGAGAAAGCCAGTCACTTGTCCTTTGCCGCGAGGATGAGATGGTTTGTGGGAAGCCTTAGCCATCGCCTGGTTCCATCCTTGGGAGCAAGCACGATTTTTATTTACCTCAGAGGAACTCAGAGGGCCATCTGCCAGACCACGTGTTGCCTCCGGCCCATCTTTGCATCAGGAGGTCCCCGGGGAGCCCTTTGCTGCCAGCATGGGAGGCCACCTGGAAGGTGTTCAGCAAAGAGCTTCAGGGATGGTTAGGCCCGAGGGATTGGCTTACCTATGGGGCTTGACTGGCAGCAACAGAAACGTTCTGCCATCCCAGGCCCTGTGAGGGGACAGGAGCTTTTATCACACCCGCTGTGTATATGAGAGAAGGTGCTGGGCCTCAGCCAGGAGCCCAACGTCGTGTGCGTGTGCCCTTCCAACGTCACAGGCACACATTAGATTCCCTGTCTCATAGACGAGGAAGCTAACACCCAAAGGGTGTGAGCCTGCTGTCTTGGGTCGAGTTGCACCACAGGAAGACCCTGTGATGAGCAGTTTATCTGGGAGGTGGTCCCGGAAGCATAGGCAGGGGCGTGGGGAAGAGAGCCGGGGATGAGAAGAAGCCAGTTGAGGGCATGTTGATGAGGAGCTACCATTGTGGGAAACGGAGGCTCCAGGCCCATGAGCACCTCCGGTGGCGGTGTAGACTATGCCCACGCTGCTCCAGTGAGGGGTGGGGAATGGCCCGAGAGCGCAGGAGTTGAAGACAGAAGCTGTCTGCATGCCTAAGAATGGTGAAAGCCATGGAACCGGGGCCACGGTGGCATCGACTGAACCATCCGGAAGACTGTCACCATTAGTGTGATTCCACCCTGGGCCTGCTACCCCTCGAACCCCTCACCTCTGAATGTTCCTCCTTCATCTCACTCCTGAAACAGCCGTCTCTCCCACACTCCATGCAACCTCTGCTCTCTTTCCCCCACCCTTCTCCACACGCCTGGCATACCCTTGGCCCCATCTTCTCTCTTGGGCTTAGTTCCAGGGTCAGGCATCCTGCTCTTTCATGACACCTGCTGGACAAGCCCCATGGGCCACATCGTCCCCTGCAGGTCTGGGCCTCTGAGCACAGCTGGGCAGGATCCCGGCACCACACAGCCAGCACTGGCACCTGTTCAGCATCCCCGGCCTCTCCGTGTTCCCCTGGCTGGCCCTCTCTCAGACCCTCCATGGACATCATCCCAGATGGCCACCTGTCTCCCCCTGCAGATGACCTCAGCTCCTCCTGCTGAGCCAAAAAGACGTAAAGCAGAAACCCCTTCATCTCTCAGCCCTTATCCTGTCTCCAAGTGCTCATGTGTCCCTGCCCTCCAGCCTCAGGGGACGGTGGTTCCACATCCTGTCTGAGGCCAATTCCCCTCCCATGCCTGGAGCCCGCCCCCCTGGCTGGTGCAGGGACCTAACCCTGCATGAGCTCCCCTCTCCCCAGGTCCCCAGCCTCTCCCACCTGGCTGCCCATCTCCCATTCCCATTTTAGGCACGCAGGCTTCCCCATCCTGGGGGTGGCTAGGATGAAAACGCTTCCCGAGCCTGTGTTTCCCTCCAGCTCCCACCCCTACCCATCTGTTGGCTCTCACCCCTACCCATCTTCTTGAACTTCCATACTTCTTAGCTTCACTTTATCCCCTGCTCTCCCTCTTCTAGGGTCTGCAGGGATGTGGGTATATTGCTACCACAAAAAAAATACCCTCAGGATTTGGTCAGCAAAGAGCAAATCACAGATGATGGCTTTTGGGCTGGCAACCGGTGGTAACCACCAGAGTGCCCCTTGGGCCACTCAAAAATCCTCAGCGACCCCACCCCCAAAATTGCCTGTCCTCTGGGGTTTCCTGTTCTAAGTGGTGGCACTACCAACCCACTGAACTGGAAACATAGCAGCTGCCTCAGCCTCCCTCCCCTCATCCCCATGTACATGGTTCTGCACTTGAGCTTGGCAAGGACCTGAAGCTCTGAAACCATGGCTCCCCACACCCCCACCTGGCTCCCACCTGCCTACTTCCCTGGCTTGCTTCCTTCCCCTCCAAACTGCTCTCTGCCTCGATCTCTCCAAAACACGGACCTGACTGTGCCACCCCTCTGCTCAGCATAAAATCCCAAGTCCCCTGAGTGGCATTCATGCTTCTTCAGGACATCTCAGATGTCCTTCCTATCTTTCTTCCCCACGTCCCAGCTGCTATCATCTCTCTCACGCACTGTGCCCCTCCTTCTGTCCCATTATCCTTTGACAGACTCTTACTCATCCTTCAAAACATTGCCACTTCCTCCAGAGAGTTGTCCTGCCCCCACTCCAAGCTGAGAGAGTGCCCCCTTCCCTGGGCACACCCCTAACATGGAGGGGACCCCCTGGCTTTTCTGCAAACATCCTCTTTCTTCTCGGGCTTTCGGTCCAGTGTCCGGCAAGGGGCTTAGGCCGGAGCACATCATCTCATTGTCCCCATTTCCACTGCACACCCTCCTCCTAGCACATACTACATGCTCAGCAGCCCCCAGTAGATTGAAAGCCTCAGGAACACACAGCTAAGAAGCATCCCTGTCAATTTGAGCCCATGCTTACCTGTGTCCAATGCATGTGCTCCCCCCACCCATCGCCCCACCGACCCATGGGAGTGGCAGGGGGTCTGGTGTTGTGATTTTGCCCAGAGCTCCTAGAACCAAGATCACGTGGGTTCAGGTTGCAACTCTGGTAGTTACTAGCTGTGTGACCCGAGACAAGTCACTTTGCCTCTCTGGGCCTCTGTTTACTCAGCTGTGAGATGAGAATGGTGGCCACCTGTCAGGTGTCGTGAAGACCAGATGGGTGAAGACATGTGGAGTGTGAAGAAGACTGCCAGCACTCAGCTTTCTCTTCCCATGTCTTCCATTTGTGTGGACCCCCAGGGCTACACAGACCTCAGGGCTGCTTGCTCTGTTCTTTTTGATACTCCTGGAAGTCACGTCTGGGTGGGGCTCCCTGGCCGGCCTCCCCTGGCCAGCAGCCTGGCCTTGGCTTCTCTCCCAGTCCCCAGGGGAGGCGGTGGTGAAGGAAGAAAGGGCCGTTAGGGAGTATCCAAGCTGCCCACAGGACGGTCCACCCCGGGGGCTGGGGTCTTCCAGCGCCTGGCTGTGCAGCCTCCCACAGCCAAGCCCTGAGGACACGCTCTCAAACTGCCAGGGGGTGTGTTGGCATCAAGATGATTCTCCTCTCCATGACTGGCTCTGCAGATGCCCAGACGCCTAGCTGACGCGAGGGCTGTCCCTGAGGAGCGGTGTGTCTGGGGTGGGGGCTGCTGCCACGTGTGCCTCTGCAGACTCGCCCGTCTCTGGGTGCACCTGAGTCATCGGCTGTCGTGCTGTTTCCTGGCGGACATGAGCCCATCTTAGCGTCTCTGCATCAGGCACCAGGCACATTAATAATCTCTGTGGGTGACTGTCCGGTCCTGCGTGTGAATATGCCCTTTGCAACTGCATCCAACACTGTGCACTCATAACTATTTCTTTGCACACCTGCTCATCTCTGTGCATACTCACGATCACGCCTGCTCCTGCTTCTGTGTACCCACATGTCTCTGTGTCTAGGGATGTGCATGCACCCCTGCAGGTGCCCTGGATATATACAAACATTTCCGAGGTATCATCCCTTCCTGGGTGCTCACCTGTGTCCGAGTGCAAATGTCATAGCTGTGGGCATGCATGACCGCGTCAGGGGGTGTGTCCCTCTCCACACGTACATGCTTATCTTCACACGCTCATGTCTACTATAGGTCTGTGCCTCGGGTATCACGGCTCGGTGTGCGCATCTGTGCCTGTGTTCATAACCAGGTGGATATGCTAGCACAGCTCTGCTGGGCACGTCTATATCTGAGGCTCCTCTCCGACCCTGTTTTGTTTTCCTGTCTACCTTCTGTCTCTCCCCCT